TGGTTCTCACCCTCGTCAGGTTCAGAGTCTAGGGGACGAGACCATCAAGAAAGTCCCTGGTGGGAGTGCTGCAGCGTGAGGGGGGCAGTGGGCCCAGTGGTCAGGGGCCAGTCTGGAGAGGACTGCGAGGGTTCGAGTCCCAGCCTCACCACTGACTAGCTCTGTGGCCTCGCGCAAGCTACCTAACCCATCTATGCCTCAGTCTCTTCACCTGTAAAATGGGGACGATGGGAATCCTTGACTCACCGGACTCTTGTGAGGATTAAATTAGTTGCTACCTGTAAAGGTTTTAGATTGACACCTGCTGCTCCCTAAGGCCTCAGCTAAGGCGATGGTGTTACTGTTTCTCTGCTGTGCTCTCGCTGCATCCTGGGCACACACGACCCGGCCCGGGCAGATCGAGGAAAACTTCCCCAAGGAGGAAATCCCTGGGAACCGAAGGGCAGGAGGAGGGGAAGGGCTTTCCAGGCTGAAGGAGCAGCTTGTGCGGAGTCCCCAGGGTATGAGCGCGTGGTATTCAGTGGGCCGGGAGTGTTGGTGGGGGTCAGAGAGGTTGTGTGTCACGGCGAGGAATGAATGTGCTAGTGAAGGACACAGCCAAGGACAGGCACGAGCCCACGGAGAGAGGGAGGGAGGGAGGGAGGGAGGGAAGGAGTGGTCGGCAGCCGCTTGCGTGTTTCCCTGCCCCAGGAGCCCAGGAAGTGGGTTTGACCGTTTTCCAGGTGAGCAGATGAGGTCATAATGAGACAAGGTGTTGGCTCAAGGACCAAGCTGCACGCACCTGGCTCCTCCAGCAGCCGGAGGAATTAGCTCATGGTTGGCAAACCTCCTCCTCGGAGCTGCTGTGGGCCGGGGAGCCGGGGAGCGTGTTTGGACAGCAGTCCCTGCGTGCAGCGTGGGTCCCCGGCGCTGGCACATTGCTGCAAAAAAAAAAGCTGACGTGCTCCCTTCCCCACCCCCCGGGCTTGTCCTTGCTGCTGCCAGGTGGCCTGCCTGGTGGGGCACGCCTGGGCCTGGTGGGATTTCGGGGTCTGATCCTGTTTTTCAGGACGCCCTGGGTCCCAGGTCTGGCAGCGTCCTTTGGCTTCCTTCTCGGGCTCCGCCAGCCTCAGGAAGGACCTAGCTTAGATGCAGAGAAAGCTGCTTGCCCCGGGTGCTGTGGGCCGGCCCGGAAGTGCCTGGTTTGTCCAGCGGGAGGGGAGGCCTCTATGCTCTTCCAGCCCAGGAAGCTTCCAGAGCTGGCGTCTGTGACCCGGCACCTGGGCGGCGCCTCTCCACCAGCTCATGACAAACATTTCTCCTGTCACGTCCCTGGGCCTGCGTGGGCGACATTCCAGCTGGAGGGGAAGGAAGAAGCCCTCTGGGCTTCTTCAGGCACCATGACACACGGGGGGCCACGCTCCCTGGGACACTGTCTGGTGACCAGGAGATCAGATCCTGTCTCCCCCTAACTCAGGCCTCTGTGCCTCACACACACACACACATACACACATACACACACACTCACCCCCGAGGATAATAAGCATCTTCGAGTGGGTACAGCTCCTTACAGTTTGCAGAGAACTTTCACATACAAGGTTCTGGCAGATCCCAGCCATTGCACAGATTGGGAAACTGAGGCCAAGAGGAGGGCACTGAGCCTGGGTCCCCGGCTTGTCAGTAGCAGTGTTGGGACCAGAAACCGGGCGTTGGCCCCGGTCTCTTGTGCAGATACGGCGCTGTCACACCTGTGTCTCAGGTGGGCGAGGGTTACCAGTGCGAGCAGGGAGGGAAGGAGCAGGGTACACAGCGGGGCCGAGTGAGCAGGGCCGTTTTCTCCCATCCACGGCAGGACGGGCTCTTCATGCAATTTTGAGACCTGAAAATTTGGGGGAGGTGAGTCCGCTGACTTGGTGTCAGTTGGCTTCCAGGGCAGGACGTGAGGGACACAGATTGGCTCGGGCCACCCGGCAGGTCAGGGACGACAGGATGACTGCCCAGTGCAGTGGAAGGGCTTGGTCTGTGTGCTGTCTGTGATGTAGCTCTGTTAGGTCCAGCCGTCTTCATGATAATGTTTTTAAAAGCGTGACTGTGTGTAGGGCTTACTGTGTACCTGGCCCTGTGCTAGGAGCTCTGTGTTTGTAACCTCATTTAATTCCCACAATGACCTGCGAGGTTGATATTATTATCCCCAGGGCTGGCTTCTTGGGTGTGGGACCCAGGCAGGGGCACAGGATTAATGCTCCACGGTTGCTGTCCTGAAATGCCCAGGACTTTTTAAACAAGGACCCAGCATTTTCACTTTGCACTGAGCCCTACAAATTATGCAGCCAGGCCTGGTTGTCCCCACTTCTCAGAAGAGGACCAGAGGCGTGGGATGGTCTTGAGGCAACCTGCCCAAGATCACAGAGCTGGCGGCTGCCCTCGGGATCCGACCCAGAGCCCAGAGTCAGAGGGCTCCCTGCCAGGTCCAGCCGCTGACACCTGCCTGTGGCCAGGAGTGAGGCTCGCCACCTCTCCCAGCCTCAATCTCCCCCTCCGTGAAATGGGATGATCCCACCTGCCCGTGGGGGCCGTGAGGCTCAAATGAGCCCGTGTGAGCTCTGTCTCCTGCACTCCCGGAGACTCGGCAGCTTGGAGGCTCAGCCTCCAAGAAGTCCAGACGAGGTCTACTCTGAATTGGTTTAGAAACTACTAGTTAAAATAAGTTCCCTTTACCCAAAGCAGCCACGCAAAGTTAAGGACTTGTCGCGGTTTCACACCCCAAGAGGAGCCCTTTATTGGCGGGCAGGACGCCCAGCCCTCTGCAGCGGGAGCTTGTTTCTGGGGAGGGCGGGCGATGGCGTCCTGCGTCCTCCCTGTCTGTCTTTTCTGCTCACAGAACTCAGGGAGGGAGGACGCTGCCCACCCGTCTGTCTGCAGTTGCACCCTCTCCAAAAAGCTTGGCTGGAGCTGCCCTTGCAGGTGGGACGGGAGCCCTGTAGATGCAGCCGCCCCGGGCACACTCAGAACAGATTCTGGCACCTCGGCAAAGAGGCAGACGGCGCCTGGGAGGGGCCCCAGGAAGCAGCTAAGAAGTCCTCACGTTTGGAGGATTCTGACCATGAAACTGCACGGAAAGACCCCCCGAAGTATACCCCACATTTGCAGAGCACACTGTCTTCAGAGTGTGCGTGCAAACTTCAGTTCTGCCAATCCCCGAGGGGCCAGGAGGTTGGTGTTGTCGCCTGCCTTTTGCAGATGAGGGCATTGAGGCTTGGCAAGACTGACAGGACCCAGAGCCAGACCCTCGGATCCCGAGTCTAGGGTCGCCATCTGGAGACGGTCGTGCTCCACCCTGGCTGCTCACTGGGACCACCTGGGGGCTTAAAAACGCGCTGCTGAGTCGTCCCAGAGCCGGGGAAGTGGCTCCTGGGAGTCAGCGTGTTGGTGAAGGTGGGAGCAGGTTTCCCTGCTGTTGGGGCGGCGGGGGGCGGGGAATGGAGAATCCTGCTCACGCCCACCGCGGGGGCAGGCCCGTGCAAGGCGGCAAGGCGTCCTCCTCCACTGCCTGCCGGGGTTGTAGAAACGCTCTGCTCTTCCTTCTTCGCGAGCACTTCCGTGCATATCCGAGAGGGGCCCCACGGCCCAGCCTCCGTTGGGCTTTTGCCACCGCCCTCCCATTTTAATTCTTTCCCCTCCTGTGCTGCCCGGTCCCCATCACCCCAGACAAGCCATCACGGCGATTAGTTTCTTTTCTTTCTTTTTCTTTTTGGCAGGGAGTTTTTTAGGCATATTCAAGTCAGTAAAAATCTCTCTTCCTTTCCCTCCTTTTCACACTCCGGGTGGCACCCTCTCCAGGCCCCTGAGCATCTCACTTTTGTCATTTAAACTTTATTCGGGATGTCATTCCCTATCAGTTCCTTCTCTCATACAGCTGCATCCCCCGGCACGGGTTGCTAAAACGCACCCTGAAAGCCCAGGGCTTCTGTCCTCGGTCCAAGTCAAACGTCCCCTGCTCTGATCTGTCCCACTCTGCCTGCCTGGTCCCCGGGGACCCGGGACACACAGGCTGCAGGCTCGGGTCTAATTCTAACCCAGAGTTACTTCTCCACCCCGTGCTCCGTCACGGTGGGGCGAGAGCCTGGACTTGTGCCTCCCCGCTGGGGACGGGAGGCCAGATCAGACCACGTAGCTGAGGTCCTTGCCAAGGAGGCTGCTGTGTGGGCACTTTGGGTAAACGTGAGAACCTCTTTCTAGAACAGTGAGTCACAGCCTCGCTTGGTTTAACCCTCCAGCGTGAAGGCAGCTGCCTCCTCTGAAGAAGAGAGGGGAGGTGTCGTTCTTGGAGACAGGAGCTGGGGGTGTGGATTAAGACTGGCCTGGAAGAGCCAGGGCCGGGGCAGGGGCTGTGTGGGTGGGGTGCGGAGGGCTCAGGGGCACCTGGACACACCTGTGTCTGCGTGGCGGGCTCCGGGACCTCTGGACAGTTGCTGCAGAGGTGAGACCTGTGCCCTCAGATCCAGATGACCTGGGCTTATCCCCCAGCTACTTGCCGTCCTTGGATTTCTCTGAGCCTCAGTTTCCCCTGCTGTGGAATGGCCATGCCAGCCTTCCCGTGGCTGGGGAGGGACCGGTACTGACACGGTTCTCATCCTTCCTGCAGGGCCTCGCGCCAGCTGCGCTTCCCCGAGAGGCAGGCGCTCCGGTCTGCGCGCACCTCCAGGACAGATAGATCCTCTTGGCAAGGGCTGCCCCCCAGCTTCCTGCTGACACCTGCCTGTTCCTGCCTTCCGTGAAGCATGGCACCCACAGGAGTCCGGGGCAAGACATAGCCCTGAAGACCCACGGCCGGCCCAGGAGGGCACTCTCTGTGGCTCACTGCACTGTCCCTCCTGGCTCCCATTGCGGCGATGCACCTGGCAGCTGTGGCCCCGCCTGGATGAGGCCCCTCCAGAGCGGGACCCACCCTCGCCACCCACCGAGCCTCCCCCGCTGCTCCCCAGCCCCTCCCACGTCTGGCTGCCCGGGCAGATCATAGAATGTCTGTGCCCCAGATCCAGGTGGACGAGGTGGGGGGTGAAGAGGGGCCAGCAGCAGCGGCCGCACCTCCCGACGACCACCTCCGGAGCCTGAAGGCCCTCACTGAGAAACTGAGGCTGGAGACCCGCAGGCCCTCCTACCTGGAGTGGCAGGCCAGGCTGGAGGAGCAGATGTGGCCCTTCCAGACGCCAGCTGCAGCTGCGGAGCAGGAGGCGAGCTCGGAGCAGGGGCAGCGTGGCAGGGAGGAGCCCCTGCTCCCTCGGAGAGAGCCCAGGCGGCATCCCCCACCGGCCGGGAGCACCAGCCCGGGCGCCGGGCCCCTGTCCCCTGGCAAGCTGGAAGGCTTCCAGAGTATCGATGAAGCTATAGCCTGGCTCAGGAAGGAACTGGTGAGTGGCTGCCCCCTAAGAGTCCCCAGAAAAGAGAAGATGCCATTCTATCTCTGCCTCTTGTCTCTCTGTCTCTGTCCCTCTCTCTCCGTGTCGCTCCGGCCTACCCTGTGTACCCCTTCCCTACCCCCCACAGTGCACACCTGTGATCTTCCCCTGGGCTGAAGGGCAGACCTCATTTCTCGGTGGTGGCAGGGGGTCTGGGTGTCAGTGGGCCCCTAATCACCGGCACTAATGGGGGAAGCAAGGGAACCGTGTTAAGGTGTCCCCGCCCTTCCCTGACACCGCACCTGGCACCCCTGAACTGCTCCTGGGGTGGAACTGCCCCCTCCCTTCTCCCAGGAACTCCCGCCCTGCCGTCCGCCCCAGCTGCCTGTTGCGAGTGGCCGGAGTGCTGGCGCTGGCCTGCTGGCCTGGCCGTGTGGGGGCCGCGGCCTGGGGCAGGGCTGTGCCGGGGACACTGTGAGGAGCTGGGCTCCGCGTGGAAAGTGCTGTAGTAATGAGAGGTGTGCAAGGAGCCGCCCAGGCAGGGCGGGCCTGGCGGGACGGGTCCTGCCTGGGGAGAAGCTTTGTGCACGGGCAGAGTAGGAGTCAGCCCAGGAGCGAGGGCTGGGACGGGCGTTCTGGGCAGAACAATCGTGAGCAAAGGGCTTGTGTATTTGAGCCGGGGCAGCAGCTCAGTCATTTTTCTCTCCACGAGCAAAACAGGTTCCCATCAGGGCCACCTCTCACCATGTGCAGGATGGTGACTCGGTCTGATAAAGGGGGTGGGACACAGAGCTGAGTGCCCCACCCGCTCCTGCTGCCCAGGGGAGAGTGGCTGGTGTCTGGCATGGTGGCTTCCCGGAAGAGCCAGGCTCGAAGCTACCCCTCCCCCAGCTCGCAACCCCTGCCCCACCTGTCACCTGAGGCCCAGGTGACACCAGCAGAGCCAGGCCTGCCTGGCCACAGGTGAGCCAGCAGTCCAGGGCCAGCTGCCTTCCAGGGCCACCGTCACCCTTGGGTCAGCCGGCGAGGCCGAGGCCTGCTTGGTTTGTGAGTTCAGACTCCTGAGAAACAAATCCCCACCGGGGCCTGGAACTCCTCGTGAGCGGAAATGAATCACTGGGGTCCGGGTGCGGAGGGGCTCGGGGACTCAGATGTCTGATTAATTGGACGCCCTTTTTGGTTTAATCCCTTTTTGGTTGAGAATGCTTCTCAGCGCACCACCCTGACACATCCGTGTTGGGTACCTGGCGCGTGTGTCTGCGGTCGGCTCTCGGAGAAGACGGGGCACCCGTGGGTCCAGGCTGCACCTCTGGGGGGCTCTGTCGCCACTGGGTGCTTGTGGGGGGTGGGTAAAAGGTGCAGCTGCTCCGTGAGCTCCCGAGGCTAAACGGCTTTGGTTTGTTTTCACAAGGAGGAACAGAAAATATTCCCATTAATCAAGGATGCCTCTTGTTAGTTTCAGGTTCATTTGAGACCCTGTTATTTCTGGGAGCAGAGGCATTTACTTCTAAGTGAGTTACCATTCCCCGTGGCCCCCCTTTGGAGTGGGGATGAGAGGAGGAATCTCCTGTGCGTGAACCAGCGGGCGTCCCCCAGAGCTGTCCTGGTCATCCTTCACCCAGACAGGAGCCGCTCACCTCATCAGAGCGACCTGGGAGCTTTTCAAACCCCCAAAGCCTTGGCCGTGCCCCAGGCTGATCAAACGGGTGCCCGGGGGAGAGGCCGGGCATCCTAAAGCTCCCGCTGCTCCGGCCTGCAGCCTGGGCTGTGTGCAGCCTGGGCTGGGAGCCGCTGCCTGGGCCCTGGGGTCATGCTCGTTCTCTGGCCAGGCCACTGTGGGAGGTGCCCGGCCAGAATGTGCTGGCCGGAAGGAGGAAGGTGGCCAGGCTGAGGAGCGGCGTGGGGGACGCGCAGAGCCTTCTCCGGAGGCGGCAGCAGAGCAGTCAGCGTCAGGACGAATTTGGCTGCCAGAGGCTGTCCTGACCGGGTAGAGAGAGTGCCGGCATTTTACATCACATTAGTAACGCTCCACGCTCGCGGAACATTTCCCGCTCTCCCGGCCACCGCTCTGTGCGCCAGAGGTGGGGGACAGTGGCGGTAATGACAAGAGTGAGACTTGGCACTGATCAAGAGCTCCCCACGTGCCAGGTGGCCGCATGCCTCGCTCACCTCTTCTAACCGTCACGTCACCTGCCCGGACCCCCGTTTTCCAGCAGAGGGAGCAGGCTCAGAGGGGATGCAGCAGCAAGTGAGAAAGCTAAAATTTGAGCCCTGGCCCCTCTGGTCGCAGTGCCGGTGCTCTGCTCCGCCCCACACCACGCGGGGTCCTCGACAGGCAGTCGATTGTGCTGTTTGATTCCTAAAAACGTAAATTCACACAGATGTCAGCAGAACGCACAGGGACGGGGGCAGAGAGAGACCGGGATTGAACAGGAGAGCTCCAGCCCCACTCCCCCATCTCTGAGTCTTACGACAAAATTGCAATTGCCCTTACTGTCCCCATTTTACAGATGAGTAAACCAAGGTCGGTAGGAGTCAGGCAACCTGCCTGGGATGATCTCGCTAGGACCTGGCAGAGGCAGGGCTTGAATTCTTGTTACAGTGAAGATTCCGACCCCTTTGGTCTGGGGTGGGGCTTGTGGTTTGGGGTTCCCAACAAGCTCTAAGGAGGTGCTATGCTGCTGCTCTTCCGACCACATGTGGAGTATTAAGGAATGAAAGGGGGCAAGTCTGGGGCCAGGGGACCAAGGAGGGACCTCAGGGGCAGACGCAGGGATCCCTGAGCTCAGCGGTGAGCCCTGTCTCTGCTATAACTACCGCGTGGCTCCGTCGGCGAGTGGGCCTCAGTGAATAAACTCGCAGCGTCCCAAACCGGGTTGTCCAAGGACCACTTCGCTCATTCAGAAGATTGCGTCTCTGAGGCCCAGAGCGGCCCACATGCAGACCAGCAGGCAGACTGGACGTGCGCTTCCGCCTGCCGCAGGGATCAGACGGTAACAAAGGCGACTTGTGAACTGTTGGGATTGAAAACAGACAGTTCAGCATTTGGACAACAAACACATTCTTAAGTCTCAGTCAAAATGTTGAACTTAATGCCATTCCTCGTTTGTCATCTGTTAACTCATTGAAGGTGTTTTCAAAAATGATCTCATTTTTTAACCCCTTGAAAGTGGTTTGCATGATCTTTGCTGTGTTTTAAGGCTGGAGTCAAGATTTCTCGACACCTGGGACACCTGGGCAGGCCCTCGACGCTGATCTGTTAGCCTCTAGTGCTAATGTTGTCTTTGCTTCTTACGGACAAGGAAACGGATTGGAAATCTGTAACTCAGTCAGTCGTGTGGATGTTTTCCCTATGTGAAGCCAAGCACCCAACGCCATGGGGGCTTGACCTCAGGGGATGGCAGGCCCTAACCATCCAGCGACTCTGCCAGGAGCCATGAGACAGCCAGGCAGGTGGCTGTCAGTGCCCCTCCGTCGCCTGCAGGCAATGAGTCTGACAGCTCCGTCCATCGTGTGCCCCTAGCCCTCTCAAGACCAGCTACCAGGCAGAGAGTGACTGCCTGATCTTAGCTCATTTCTAAGGCAAGGAAGGATCCTAACAGCTCTCTCGGGGGTCAGCTCTACCCCTCAGCTTTCAAGGAAATGACAATTGTACCTTTCGCCCCCCAGGGACCTGCAAGCAGGTTGGATTTTCCTTCAGGCTAATGCGCTGGGGATACAGGGAGGTGGAAATCCTCCAGCTGAGGAGGCCTGACCTTTGCCCCGAGTGGATTTAGAGACTGTGTCATCATCTGGCTGTGGCAGGCAGGGCTGTGGCCTCTGCACTAGGTGGCTTTGGGCCACCTGACTCCTCCAGGCTAAGATCCAATCTCTGTTGCCCTGACACCAACTCAGGGTTGGACGAAGAGGCCATTGTGCAACTCTGCTGGTCCCAGGCCGCCCGCATCGCCAGAAGGACACTGCCTGCAGCTTTCTACCTTCTAGGTGGCCTCAGTAAGCGGCCGGTGGCCTGGTGTAGGTGGGGGCGATGCTTCGGGAAGGGGGTGGGCTAGAAGGGCCTCGCCCCCGGAGCTGTGGGATTCTCTTCTCTCCAGCTGGGACTGGAATTCAGAACATTTCCCAGGCGCCTCTCGCTGGGCTTGCGGTCAGGGTCAGCGACTCCCTGGCCTGGGCCTGGGCCTCGGCGCTCGGGAAGGGCACCCGCCTTGCTGTCTTCTCTCTTCCGTCACGCCCAGAAATTCCCTTTGCCAACCGGGAGGATAAAGGAGAGGGGCAAGAAAGTCTTCCGCTTGGTCTGTGCGGTGCCAGACTTGAAAACAAAACACTCCGGCTTCCTAGTGGGCTGTCTTTGCGGTGGGAAACCTGGGTGCTGACAGATACTTTTCCTTCGGTTTCACGCAGGTGTTTGATCCCTGCAGACAGAGCCTGCAGGAAGGTGTTTATGGTTGTTAGAAGAAGGGAAAAGAAACCTGAGGAGTTTTAATGACTTAGGGCTTGCCAATGGTGGGAGGCCGATCCAGGGTCCCTCTTTGGCCTCAGCTTGTTTCAAGCCAGGAGTCCTCTCCTAGTTAACCCTCTCTTGCCCGTGCTGTCTGCTTGCCAAGTGCATGACTCTGGTGTGTCCGGGCACAGCCCTCTGAGGCCACCGTCATCCATATCACTGAACGGTGTGGCCAAGTGACAGGTCAGACTCGCCGAGCATCTTCTGATGGGGACGGAGGTGAGAAATGTGGGGATACAGCCATGTTAGCATCTCCCTAAAAGGAAGCATTTTATGGTTCCCAGAGTTCTTTCCCATACAGAATCCTGTGCAAAGGCTTTGGAGTACTTGCTATTCCTGCTTTACAGACTGAGCCTCGGAAAGATTATAGGCCTCAGGGACGGAGAGGTTAAGTGACTTGCCCAAGATCCCGTGAAGGATGAGGCTACACCATGGCACAAACCCACATCACTGGGCTGTGGATCCAGATCTCTTCCCTTTGTTCCAGACACATCAGATGTTCCCGGCAGCGGGGCCGTGAGCTGTCAGAAAGCCTGTGTTTAAACCCTGCTGATTTCAGACCAGGATGCTTGTAAAAGTCACAGCCAGCTGCTAGCAGTGCCTCACAACAGCCCTGTAGCAGGGGCTGGGCAGCCGTTTCCTGACGAGGATAATAACTTGCTCAGGGCCATCCAGCGAGGAACTGGCAGGGCTGGAATTTGGTTCACAAGAGAGCTTCTCGTCCAGGCGTGTGGTTGCCCAAGGCCAAGTCTTCTCAGCGTCGCTTGGGGCTTTCAGCCTGTCAGGACGAAGACTCCTGTTCCTTCATCTGGGCAGACGCTGGCCTCTTAGAGGTTATTAAAGAATTTGTAAACAAAGGTACCAGCAAAGGAAATACACCAGACTTCAGTGATCTTTATTTCTGGATGGTAACATTATTCTTTGGACTTTTCTGTAGTTTCCAAAATTTCTAAAATAGGCATATATTATGTATAATCAAGAGGGGAAAAATTATAAAAATAAAAGACCAAAGAAAGAAGAGTGCGAGGCTTCTTGCCAATGTAATTGGTACACACTCTTCACTGTGTAGTCTACTGATAAAAAAGAAAAGGCATAGAATCTCCTAGAATAAGACAAAAATCAGGCCCTCTGTCTCCAGAAGTTCCCGCTCCCCGTGAGAGCTGACGAGGCAGGCGCTGCTCCCGGGAGCTGCACCGACCCGGGGCAGGGAGGCCCTGCCTCTCCCTCTGGACTGTCTTGGCTGGTCAAGAAGGAAGGGAGGAGATGCCCCGTGGCTGTGCCCCACCAGGGTGACATCATG